AAATCTCACTTGTCTCTATCTGATGCTAACTAGATGTGTCATTTTAATTTCCTCGTTACTCATATCTTCAGTTTATGTTAATTTCCCTGTCCTCTCATTTTGTCTTTGTGGTAACCACCGAAAATGCAGGCACTCCAACAGAAAATAATCAACGAAAGTCAGAAGAAAAGACGAAGTATTAATTGTATCTTGACACAAAGTTTGGTATCTGTCTATATTTCTGACATGAGGTATTATGTACACAATTTACATTATTCGGACAGGGGATAAATGCGTTGGTTAGATCCATTGACAGGACCCAAAGAGTTTGTGTTCAATACCCGGTTAAGTAACAAAATTATCTGATATATTGTTTACAATATTCAGGTATTTAAATTGTATTTCTTGCTTGATGTTGACATCACTAGTCTGTAGTTCACCTCTTGGGCTATTCCTTTTGCTGACAACCAAACTTTGTACACTCTTTACATTATTCAGACTATGGTCCTCATCTTTGTCGCCATATTTATTACAACGTTTCGGCCATTGTACGTTCCGGCCTTCTTTAGTTGGTTGGAATGTCGAACTGAACCCTTTATTTCGCTCACTGGGGTAGACTGTTCTAGTTCCACATGCCATGTCAGTTATCAGTTATCTACTGTTAATTCCCCTCTGCACGTTCTCCATTGCCTTAACCGGGTATTGAACTCACACTCTTTGGGTCCTGTCACTGGATCTAACCAACGCTTTTATCCACTGTCCGAATAATGTAAATAGTGTGCAGAATACCTCATGTCAGAAATATAGACAGATACCAAACATTGTGTCTAATTACCATTAATAGTTTAGTCTTTTCTTATGAATTTCCTGTACTATTTTCTGTTGGTGTGCCTGCATTTTCGGTGGCTACCGCAAGGAAAACACATAATCCCTCACAATTCTGAAAGTGTTTTCCCTGTTCTTTCATTTTCAGTGTTTTCAACTTCTGTGAATTGATTGACTTTATATTTCCTTCGAATCTTATTTTTGACGTTTCAATTTTTCTAATTCTCACCCTTTTTATCTTTTAGATTTATTGAACATTATTTCGTTTTAGAGATGTGTGCCTTATGAGGTTTTCGGTTGGATGGGATTCGTGCCAAGCAATAAATAATCACCTAATGCTTTTTCATTTCACACCTTCCTACATATATCGCATTAGCTATTTCAGACCATATTCAACGCACCATCAGCATAATTCGTTTCGACGATCAAAATACGCTGCAAGCTTGGAAATGAATATCTGCTAATATAAACAAAGAATGAAAACAAAATAGAAAAGATTATTTTAAGATTAATTGTTTCAGAAATTCGCTAGCGCTTTTAATATACAAGTAAAATAAATCTGGAAACATATACAGTTATTATTTTGATAATGATCAAAATACAAAAGAATAATAATTACGAGAATAAATATTTGTGGAAAAATCTTAAAAGCATTAATTACGTTCAGATGGCGGATTATGAGACAGGGAATGCAATGATTTGACGAAACGGAAACATTACTTAACGTCTCTCTGCTATATAATATTCTATAGGACAGTTATTGTTGGACAATATTCTTGGAGATGAAGAAAAAGAGACGGAGAGGTCATTCTGCTGATAAATGTTCAGAATGCAATGGGCCGTTGTAATATTATTTATTGTTACCACATTGAAATAAAACCTTATAATTAGAAAGTGTTATGTGATAAGTGACATTGAAACGAGAAGGGTTAAAGTCAAAAACCTGTGGGAAGAATTAAAGATTTGATTCACACATAAACAACTTGAACTGTATGTCGAGTAGTTTGAACAATGGAAAAGTGACACAGATTTAGGGGGGGGGGCAATGTTGAGTGACACACAGCTTCAAATGCAAGCTGTAAAGCGAAAATTTCATTTTTAGTAAATAACGAATATGGAGTTGATTCTCCTGGTCGAAAGTTGAGTTGAAATACTAAGAGGTGGGGTGGATAATCTACCCACGCTCACTGAGGAGATTTAGTGAGAGGTTATGATATGAGAGGTTGGAGAGAAGGAAATCTCCATAATTATCACGTAAGCCGCAGGAGATTCACCGAAATGCTCCTAGCTTGCCATCCTCCGGTGCCAGTTTGAGCGAATGTCCATAAATACTGAAGCGAATTCGGCAGACGTGTGGCGGAGGAGAGCAGAGAGTAGAGGGGAAGAGATCAGAGACAAGAGAGAGGCCCACGGGATTATCTGCCGACGAAAACCTCCGATTTCAGCCTTGTGCCAAATTTTGCCAAAGCAGCAAACTAAACCTTGACAAGCCAGCAACGATAGTATTGCTTCCGATTTAGACGCGGATCGGGCTGACAATTATAGCGTGTGAACTCTAATACATCCAATTATTTTACGAAGACTGATATAAAAACTATTCACTTTTGCTAAATTTATTCGAGAGCTATTTTTCCTGTATGTCATCGTCATGCTTGGACCAGCCCAACACGAAGATAGCTGCGACAATTCGATATTGGCCTCCTTATGATCAATCTTAAATCCCAACGTGGGATAAGGGTAGTTCTGGATTGAAGCTGTCACTTCAGAGACCAGCAGCGGTGTTGGAAGTCTTGGATGACCGGGGAGGGTGCTGTACGATTAAACCGTAACAAGGAAGTTTTAAATAAATTATTAACTAGAAAGAATGAAGCTTGCTGAAACGTCTCGAACACATTATGGGGATAAAGCGTCTAAAGGATTTAACAATATCGCGAGTTACAGACAGAAGAAGGGAGAAACAATGACAATAAAACGTTAACCAGTTTGAATAAATCTGAGTTGAGTAAAGAAAAATAAGATTGGCAACCATTAAGCATTACTTACAGCATCAAAAAATAGAAGGTTGCAAAAATCCCTGAACACCGGGTTAGATTTGGAAAATGTTTAATACTGATTCAGGTGAAATATAAAACACATTTAAGAAGTAATATATTATATATCACCATAATACATAAGTGATTAGCTCGGTGAGGTTGGAACTCTCTATATTCGCCGTTATATTAAGCTTCAATAATATAATTATTTGATTTACATTCCAACGAATACGTGCATCGTATTCGATAAAAATCTTGTATGTTGCAAATGCTAATGATATTATGTTAACTTAACCTACAGTAAAAAAAAAAAAAAGCTTAAAATATAAAAATATCAAAGTGGAGACATAAAATAAAATATTCAGACACAATAAGTATTAAGTTTCTATCAAACTTTCAAATCTATTATTCTTGGTAAAGATAAGTCATCAAAATAAGTACAGAAAATTGCTTTGACTCGTACACAGTGTTTTAATCATTTCAACCAAAACAAATCCATAAAAGCCACTACGACGCATAAGGTTACTGAGAATGAAACAAACACTGGATTCAATGCGATTGACGTTGAATTTATTTTTTTGGAGATCGTAGTTGACAGGAAAGCCGGAAACCGAAAGAAAATTCCGCAAAAGAGAAATGAGGTAAAATAAATTATTAGGATAAAATTTACATTGACATGTAGAAACTTCAACATTGAAATGATCAAACCTAGCTGACAATCGAGTACTGCGCTTAAAATCGCAAAAGCTGATGTATCAAAAAAGAAAGTTCATCGGAACAATTACTTGTGGACAACACGCGTCACTACAGACGCAAAAGAAGCCTCGGATCGCATACGGCCATCTTTGTCAACATCAGTTACATCCGGGTTTTTTCCTGTGTTCAGCGGGAAAGTTTGACATGTCTAGCTAGATACGGGTCTTTCTATAAGTGGTCAAAATCCGGGTTTCTCTAAGATGCTATAAACCAATAAAAGCAAAGGTAATACAGCAGTCGGCAGTTTGCAAGATGCGGTGTCTTATGAAGTCAGTTACGTGGGTATATTTTCCTCAAGTTGTTATGGTTTCGAGGAAGAGATATTTCTTTTGTTATATCCCGTTATTTCCCCTCCTCCCATATTATCCACGTAGTTGCTAAGGGATCAATCGTTTTTTTCCGCCCCCAATCACAACAGATTCTTTGCTTGCATTGCATCACTACTGTTAAAAACGCTTATGGAAAATACACAGGGAATTTACGTTACAATGATGAGGCAGTAACTAAAGCTGGGATGCCAGTTGAGGTCCGATAATATTTTAAAATTCCTCTTTGCATTTTGTCAAAAGCCTCTAGATATATAGCAGAAGCCCTGAAATAGTTTTGGCTGTAATATTTAATACACAGACGAATGGACGTCCATTTACCAAAAGTTGTTGATGGTGAAGGAGGTCATGTACACCTAATACCAAATAAGACTTGAGTTATTTGTCCATGTTGACAGTAATTACGTTTCGGGAAACAGGTCAGACATCGTTGCTTGATCTCTTTAATATACAATAAAAAGATAGTCGTAGACATAGACTTGTAACAATGCATATGTATAAATCATTGTAGTAAGAATTAAAATTCTGTTATAAACTAGTGGAAGATTTTGACAAGAGCAACTGATATAAACCTGGTCATTTCAGCTTCCTAGCTATAGAAAAAGGAGAGCAAAAACGGTATAACTTTAGATATTAATACATTAATAAATGTACTTAATTTTGATAGCAGTATAATTATTCACTTTTAGATATTTTTTCTGTATCTGGAGACGTTGTATTTTAATTAAAGTTAGTGTGATTCCAGGTTATTGCTATAATTGCGCCTTTCGATTTAGTGCCTTTTAATTCTCGATGGTGAATTACTACTGAGATCGTGCCTCACTAGGTGCCTTATGTTATACTCTTGTTCGATATATAATCTGTGATGAGTAAATACCTATATTGACTGAATTGATTTACTGTGCAAATACGCCTTGGAAATGTTTCCCTTCGATTGGAAAATCAAATGTGGACACCAAAGAGTAATTCTCTAATCTGATCAAATAGATAAGTTGAACCTCTTTATCTGACGCATGGCTACATTTCTTAACTGTCGAGTGGAGATTGAACATTTTATTAATGCCTTTCTTAAACGTGTGACTTAAACGCATGACCAATAGATAGATAGATAGATAGATAGATAGATAGATAGATAGATAGATGTGAAATGGACAATTAAAGAACAGGTTGAGATATATAGACAGACAGACAGAAAAACAGATAAATAGACAGACAATGAAAGATAAATAGATGTGAAATGGATGATTAAAGTCAGGCTGAGAGTGATAGATAGATTAATACATAGATACGTACATAGAAAATAGATGATTAACGAACAGGCTGAGATAGATAGATAGATAGATAGATAGATAGATAGATAGATAGATGTGAAATATATTATTACAAAAGTGGCTGAGATAGATAGATAGATAGATAGATAGATGTGAAATGTATGATTACAAAAGTGGCTGAGATAGATAGATAGATAGATAGATAGATAGATAGATAGATAGATAGATAGATAGATGTGAAATGTATTATTACAAAAGTGGCTGAGATAGATAGATAGATAGATAGATAGATAGATAGATGTGAAATGTATTATTACAAAAGTGGCTGAGATAGGTAGATAGATAGATAGATAGATAGATAGATGTGAAATGTATTATTACAAAAGTGGCTGAGATAGATAGATAGATAGATAGATAGATAGATGTGAAATGTATTATTACAAAAGTGGCTGAGATAGATAGATAGATAGATAGATAGATAGATAGATAGATAGATAGATGTGAAATGTATTATTACAAAAGTGGCTGAGATAGGTAGATAGATAGATAGATAGATAGATAGATGTGAAATGTATTATTACAAAAGTGGCTGAGATAGATAGATAGATAGATAGATAGATAGATGAAATGTATTATTACAAAAGTGGCTGAGATAGATAGATAGATAGATAGATAGATAGATAGATAGATAGATAGATGTGAAATGTATTATTACAAAAGTGGCTGAGATAGATAGATAGATAGATAGATAGATGTGAAATGTATTATTACAAAAGTGGCTGAGATAGATAGATAGATAGATAGATAGATGTGAAATGTATTATTACAAAAGTGGCTGAGATAGATAGATAGATAGATAGATAGATAGATAGATAGATAGATAGATAGATGTGAAATGTATTATTACAAAAGTGGCTGAGATAGATAGATAGATAGATAGATAGATAGATAGATAGATGTGAAATGTATTATTACAAAAGTGGCTGAGATAGATAGATAGATAGATAGATAGATAGATGTGAAATGTATTATTACAAAAGAGGCTGAGATAGATAGATAGATAGATAGATAGATAGATAGATAGATAGATAGATACGAAATACAAGATTAGGGAAAAGACTGGTATAGATAGGTAGGTAGGTACGTAGGTAGAGAGATAGTGAGATAGAACATGAAAGAACAGGCTGAGATAGATAGATAGATAGATAGATGTGAAATGTATTATTACAAAAGTGGCTGAGATAGATAGATAGATAGATAGATAGATAGATAGATAGATAGATAGATGTGAAATGTATTATTACAAAAGTGGCTGAGATAGATAGATAGATAGATAGATAGATAGATAGATAGATGTGAAATGTATTATTACAAAAGTGGCTGAGATAGATAGATAGATAGATAGATAGATAGATAGATAGATAGATGTGAAATGTATTATTACAAAAGTGGCTGAGATAGATAGATAGATCGATAGATGTGAAATGTATTATTACAAAAGTGGCTGAGATAGATAGATAGATAGATAGATAGATAGATAGATAGATAGATGTGAAATGTATTATTACAAAAAAGTGGCTGAGATAGATAGATAGATCGATAGATGTGAAATGTATTATTACAAAAGTGGCTGAGATAGATAGATAGATAGATAGATAGATATATAGATAGATAGATAGATAGATACGAAATACAAGATTAGGGAAAAGACTGGTATAGATAGGTAGGTAGGTACGTAGGTAGAGAGATAGTGAGATAGAACATGAAAGAACAGGCTGAGATAGATAGATAGATAGATAGATGTGAAATGGACAATTAAAGAACAGGTTGAGATATATAGACAGACAGACAGAAAAACAGATAAATAGACAGACAATGAAAGATAAATAGATGTGAAATGGATGATTAAAGTCAGACTGGGAGTGATAGATAGATTAATACATAGATAGGTACATAGAAAATAGATGATTAACGAACAGGCTGAGCTAGATAGATAGATGTGAAATGTATTATTACAAAAGTGGCTGAGATAGATAGATAGATAGATAGATAGATAGATAGATAGATAGATAGATACAGAAATACATGATTAGGGAAAAGACTGGTATAGATAGGTAGGTAGGTACGTTGGTAGAGACATAGAGATAGATAATTAAAGAACAGTCTGATATATATATATATATATATATATATATATATATATATATATAGATAGATAGATAGATAGATAGATAGATAGATAGATACCACCCCAGATAGGCATCTAGTTAGCTAGGTAGATAAATCAAGCAGATCACTTGAATAACGTGTACCTTATAATTTTCAATTTAATCCCGAACCTACGAAATAATGGAATACTGACGGTGTTTTCAGACATTGTAATCACTACCATTAAGGTCTGACCAAAACCATTAATCGCAACGAATTAATGATATGCGTGATCTCCAACACTGCCGCTTGGATTCTTAAACGGGGAAGGGAAACAATTACCCTCCAGTGATACGAAATGTTTATACAGTCTCGGTAACCATTCATCAGGAAAATATACAATAAATGATGAGCAATGTCTCAATTAAAGTTTCCTTCTTCTATTGGCTCAAACTATCAATCTATCTATATCCCAAGCCTCCTTCTCTCTTTATTCGATTTCAATTAATCTATGCCGTTAAATAACGTGCTGTTTGATTTATAATATGTTCTTCATTTCCCAATCTTCATTCATTAATGCTTGCATTTCGAACAAAAATAAATAGCAAAGATTTTTTTTCATTTAACTTTTAGCCTTCGCAGTTACGTAAGTCAGATCTGGAAATCTTTATAACGTTTGCATACAAAGTTAATTCTAGCTGTCATAAATCCGTCAAATTTACTACACAAACATTTCGATTATTTCTGAAAACTCAGAACGTTATGCTTTTCCCATCTCGATATAAACAAACAATATAATGTAGATTGCAACTGTGACAATGCTGATAATGACTCTAAGATTGAAATTAAATGACGACTGCTCAATTCTAACTGGTGTCATCATCTTTCTTGATAAGTTTTCGCTATTTTTGAAGTGGGAATTTTTTTTATACCTTCCAAATTCCATGCTAAATAATCAGAAATATGAATTCTGATTAAAAACCAAGAAAAGACTATTGATAAGCTATTTAATATCAATCTTTCTGTATAGCAGTGAATGCTGGAAAATGTAGAAGCAATCAGAGGACATTTTGAACGTTTATTGTGACTTGTTCTGTTGAGATACAACGATGGCCTTTTAGACATATGTTTATATGGATATTTTGCCTTGTTTTGGTGTGAGGAACCCGTCGCCGAAGCTTGTAAAAGTATAATTCTTGCGAAAGCAAAGATACCAGACAAAATTAATCTTCACATGAAACGTCTAGATTTGTTGTCGCTTTCTGATTTAAACTACAAGTGTCCGTTTGGTTTTTCTTTTCTCTATAAAATCTGTGTTGCTCATATATTTTGCCCGTGATATTCTCAGCATCTTTCTGCAGAACCGAATCTGTGTTGTCGTAAATATCATTTTCATCTTTGAGGATATCGTCCTGTTTTCACTGTCATAAAGCATCATGGGATACTACATAAAAGATGCACATTTTTCTTTTCTAACATATTTTTTTATTATTTTTTTTTTTTAATTTTATGCTTTTCCAAACACGACATTGAGTGTCTGTCTCAAATCTTCCATCATCTGCTAAAACATTTCTCAGATAATTTAATCTGCTTGTTTTATTTTAAGGTCGCTAATTTCTACAATATGTCTTTAAGTTTTTCTACTTGATTTGCTTTACAAGCTTGTTCAGAAGCAGCTACAGATTTTGTTCTGAGTCAGCCATCTGCGTTATTTATATTGTTAAGTTTGTGCACACGAATAATAAACACTGCTTGAACCTCTTGGCGGATCGCTTAGCTTTATAGGTTAAATAAATACGGTGAGAAAACCAGTCCTTGTCTTATATCCTTTTCCTTTTATGTACCTGCTCTCTAATTCTTCTTCTGTATCTCTTCAACAGGTAGAAAATCATGGTTCTCCGCATCTTCCCATCACTTGTAACGCTTGCTAACTTTTGTGATTTTTCCAAACATGACAACTGACAAGCTTATGCTAATCCCACAAGCTCGTCAGGCATGTGGACAGTCGCCTTCCTCTGCCCCGATAGGCCTTATCATTGTCACATTCTACAAGGCCTCCTTCCTAACTATTTGTCCAAGAAATTTCAACTGTCACCGAGTATAAACGTTTTTTTCTTTCTAGTTTGACTATATCAAATCAAAAGATAAGATGGCGACGATAAAATATGATAATGAAACTAAATTCGAAGTTAGTATGTTGGTATTTCACATTAGTTTAATCTGCTAAAAATAGTTCTTAGATACAGGTTGCTATTTCCAAGTTATTTTTTTTAAATTCTCCGATTCAAAGTTGTTTTAATTATTTTTTTCAGTTTACTCAACTGTTTTAAGATTTAAATCGCATTGAATTTTTCTATAAAAACGAAAAGAAAATTCGAATAAATAAAAAAGAAATATAATAATGAAATAATTTATATTAGAAATCCATGCAAAATATAATTATGTCGAAATATATGTTGAAGAAACGGTGATAGGACCGTAGTAAATATAGACAAAAGGAATTTCTTCCGATGAGTACTGAAATTAATTTTATAATAATTTATAAATAAAAATGACAATAGGAAAACTGGTAATTGCTGACGCGTTTTCTCGCTCTCTGTCTCTCTCTCTCTTTCTCTCTCTCTCTTTTCTCTCTATTTCCCTCTCTCTTTTTCCCTCTCTCTCTTTCCCTCTCTCTTTTTCTCTCTCTTTCTCTCTCTCTTTCTCTCTCTCGCTCTCTTTTCTCACTCTCTCTTTTCTCTCTCTCTTTCTCTCTATCTATCTCTCTTTCTCTCTCTCTTTTCTCTCTCTTTCCCTCTCTCTTTTTCTCTCTCTCTTTTTCTCTCACTCTCTCTTTTTTCCTCTCTCTTTCTCTCTCTCGCTCTCTCTTTTTCTCTCTCCCTTTCTCCTTTTTCTCTCTCTTTCTCTCTCTCTTTTTCTCTCTCTTTCTCGCTCTCTTATTCTCTCACTCTCTCTTTTTCTCTCTCTCTTTCTCGCTCTCTATCTATCTCTCTTTCTCTCTCTCTTTCTCTCTCCCTCTCTCTCTTTTTCTCTCTCTTTCTCGCTCTCTTTTTCTCTCACTCTCTCTCTTGCTCTCTCTTTCTCGCTCTCTTTTTCTCTCACTCTCTCTTGCTCTCTCTCTTTCTCGCTCTCTTTCTCGCTCTATTTCTATCTCTTTTGTTCTCTCTCTTTCTCGCTCTCTTTTTCTATCTCTTTCTTTCTCTCTCTGTTTTTCTCTCTCTCTTTCTTGTTTGGAATTCTGATTCTCTCTCCTACACTTGTTTATAACCAAGGCTACCAAAACTATGCTCGTCTATTATTTAACCCATACCTGGTGTAAAAAAAAAGAAAGAGTTTAATTCATCATTTCCTTCGGGTACATGTGCGAGAATTTAAATTAAAGAATCCCTGCCAGAATTTGAACTCGACTTGCATTGATTATATGCGACTGTCATTTTGCTATTCCATGAAACAATTTTGAAAATAAGAAAATACCATGCCGAAAATTAAACTGCGGGAAGTAACGGCTTGTTGATCTTAACGCCTCTAAAACGACACTGTTCTGTATCAATAATCTTAGAGAAGACTTTTTCGCATTCAATCAACATGGCAGATGCTAACCTACAAGAAAATAAATCTCTGCATCTAGGCGAACTCACGTTTTCCACGAACATAAAGCGGACCGATTGTCTTGAACCAATTGTTATGTTTACTGCTAGCAAATGACGGTTTACCATTTTTCCGCCAATGTCTATCACGCATATATATACTTGACCGTGCCTCGAATATTACTGCCATATTAGTTCTGGTTCTTCCGCTATATATCTAGCTATCTTAACAAAATCTATAAAGTAATGACAACATTATTGTCCATGATCTGGCATATCGTCTTCGGTCACTTTCCCACTGCCGTAACGTCTTTTCCCAAATCCCTTTCTGTAAGAATGTTCACGATAACTGTTTTGATGAACTTCCTTCTTTGGTACATCGACTTATCGCGTACCCTTATATTGGTAGTTTGGTATCAGAATTTTGCTGTTGAACTTGCTAGTTTTTAACCATAATGCTAATAGTTTCATCAGCCGCTTTCTTTTCGAAAAATTTTTCTTTCGGGTAAAAATACTATCCTCAAAAATTTAAAGAAAATGTAAATCGTTATCTACTGTGGAATTGAACCCGTTGTTTTATGGCACACATGGTTTCACTTAATTTCAGTAAAACCTTAGATCCTAATGGATTTTACCGCCCAACTTGTGGTGAAAATATTAACAAAAATAGATCAAATATTTTATTTGTCCCTCTGTCGAAATAAACAATAAAACATTCAAACACTGGCGTATATGGAATTGTTGCAATGAACGTAACGCAATTACATATGAGTAGACATTTGTTTCAATACAACAAGGTTTAAATTCCTCATGTCATAAGGTCAGAAATAAGTGCTAGTACCATATAAAAACTTGCCTCATATAATTTCGGGAAGAGATTGGCACCACCAAATAACAAATATTATGACATGAACCTAAAATGGGATGATTTGATTATGAATTCAGAGCTTAGGATATTTTTATTAAGTTCCTTTTAGCCTTATCGATATTAAGAGTAAGTTTTATTAAGTATTAACTCCATTTTTTCCCACCTTTTTAATCAGGCGTATGTACTCGTTTATAAGCCGAGAATTACTTGACAAAATATCGAGGATAAAATGTGTTAGCGTTATATTGGAAATCAATATTTTGCCGATTTTCACCAACTTCAACATCTATGTAAAAAAGAGTGCTCTGCAATGAATGGCAAATGTATTTAGATTTTAGAAGCACTTTTACAGAATGCTTTAAGTACTCAGTCTTTACTTATGCCGTCATTTCTCATTATATATGATTTTTCACAAAAGATTTTACAATGAATACTTATGTTTAAGATTTTAGAAGTAGTTTACAGATTGATTCATGCATTTACA